CCCCAAAACCCCAAAACCCCAAAACCCCATAGTAGTATAATCTGAATGATATCAGAGAGCTTCATTAATCAGCATTTAAACAATTTAATAATTGCAAAAGCTAAATTTAAAACCTACTAACATTATATTATTACGGATATTCGTTGATATATATTTTAACAGAGATAATTTCATAGTCATCAATATACTATGATATATGGATGTATTATAATCAAATTCATGAAGATATCGGCATAATACTTCTTACTTTTTCTTTAAATCATTCTTTCCATTCGCTTTCATCCACTAAGGATTCTTTAATTAATTGCTTCACTTTCTCTTCATATGGAGGTTTGTTCAATATTGAGTAATATTCTCGAATATTTGTGTCTTTAAGCATATCCACTTTCATGGAAAAATATCTAAAGGCTTTTTTAGAACTCATTTCAGATTCTTGAGGATATTGATTTCGACAATGCTAGCAATCTATTGCTGTGTTTCTGAACAAATGCTTCCCATTGCAACTCTTATCTGGGGTAACTCCATTCTCTGGTCTTTTGCAAATAATGCAAATACTGACTAGTGTGGGCACTGAAACATTTTAGCTGCCACCTTTCTCCCACCATGAAAGTGCTTACTTTAACAAATCTCTTTCTATATAGTGCATTTCTTTTCGATCGTCTTACAACTCTTTATTCTTCGTATTAAGTGTAAGTGAATTAAATTTCCAATCTTCACCAGACTTTCTCCCGAATCCTGAACACAGCAAATTCACTTTTGATGGTTCTATCCCTAGCAAAGATTTCAGGAGATTTCCATGAATTTATCCCTCTGATGATTTATATACCTTTATTTCATCTATTTTTCTTACATACACATAACCAGGCTATATTCTAATATCCTAATTTGAAAAAGAGTCATAAATAATAATGCCGCCAATGTCATCATCTTCCCAGTCCATTGGTTCGGTCGACCTACAGGACAAATGGAATGTTTTTATTTTTCTCTATATTTCTCCTGTTTCCTCACTCAAGATATTCATTGAATTTTCGTCAAGTGTCACACTTATAAAGCCACCGCCTTACATTCTTAAGGATACAAACAGAGTAGAATCAGCTAAGAATTTTAGATTAATTTGATTATCAATTGGAATTTTTTTATATACATCTTTATGTATTTATAAATCCTTATAACTTCTACCTGTTTTCTGGGAAATATTAATCTTTAAACATGCAATATTGCAGAAAGGACTAACATCAACGACATAAGGAGTAACTCCAGCTCCATGTTCTCTAAGTTTTATTTTAAATGTCTCTTTGTCAAGAGTAGAACCTGAACTTTAAAGAGATTATTTTTAGCTCAAATGATTTGATTTTGGGAGCTATGTAGAGTTTTTAGTTTGACATGATCCCATTTGTTTACTATAAATTAATAAATATTATCAAGTAATATTTGAATTAATTGATAAAGATTTGTAATAAAAAAGCACTAGCTATCTCAACAATTAAGAATTTACCATAATTGCTTAATAATCAGCATCTAATCATTCAGTTAAAATTGGTATCATTAATAAAATAGCAATAGTTTGAAACAAGCATTAAACTGATCGATTAGTTATTATTTATTCACTAATTATTGAGTAAAATCACAGTTAAGGGGTTTTGGGGTTTTGGGGTTTTGGGG